TGAAAGATGAAAACATCTCCAATGTTCTATTTTTTATATATGACATAAGCATAAGCTGAATATAAATAATCTCCTTTCCTGAATATTTACATTATCATCTAACTGCAAGCGCCTTAAGCCTTCACAAACTCCAGCTATGCAAGTGACATGTATTTTAATTGAGCATCATACACTGAACTTTTTGAAATGAACATTTTATGTTTTTTCCCACACAGAAGTTCTGTAAACGAGTATATATACTATATCCTTTTAAAAGTAATCTTCATTTTTGTTCCAATATGGTTATAACTGTTAAATACCAATTTACATATCGAATATGTACAAATGTTAAATGTTCACATATACATTAAATACCAAAAGCCTGATTATTTGAGCACTCAAAAATATAGAAATGTTAAATGCTGAATCACTGCACATTAACTGAAAGAATGACTAACAACTCACATTAAACTGTATGCCACTTATTTTTAGTTAATTTTATATCATATCAGTAATTTTCTTGTTCTGATATAAGCTTTTGTATTCATTTCGCTGTCATGCTAGCATTACTTGTCCCATAGCTAAAGAATGTAATCTGGAGTGTATTTTTAATACCTTTATTTCAACTGAGCAATGGCCTTGGTGATTTGTTTGTAAGATAAAAGTGCAAAGTAAGTGTATATGTATAAAACCCCTTTTCAGATTGGAAGCTATATTAATATACCATACTTAAAATTAAAAAAGCATAAATACATTTGCAGTCAATAATACAAAGTAAAGGAGTCCTTTAAAATCACCACATTCAAAATAAAAGTGGATGCAAATCTATTTTAATAATATTCAGGTGTAACAGAGAACAAGTACAAGACAGCACTGGGACACCCAGGTCTCAGTATGTGCTTTGTCAGGTGACTTTAAAGACAGACTTGAAAAGGATCTGAGGGTACTGCAACACTGCAGTGTCAAACTGCAAAGCACCTGGCCCACTGAACAAAAAAGAGGGCTTTTTTTTAGATGCTCAAACTTTTGTATACAATAAAAGGGAGAGCTGATTGTCCTAGGCTGTGAACTCATTTAAGGGCAAAATACAGCATTTTCCAATAGCCAATTCTCAGAACAGCACATTTGTAAGATCTTTTCCCTTTTAAGTTCACACAGCTTCCCTGCAGCACAAGGCCCAGTAAAGATTCATCTCGCTGGAGGATCCATCTTTTCGTGAGTTTGATCTGACAAACAAGGCACACTCACACTGTCCTTTAAAAACATGAGATGCAGAGCAGCTGCAACTTCCCTTTAATACCCAATTTAACTACACAGGGCAGTTATCCAGGAGTGAAGGATATGCACTGTCAGTTCTCTCGTATCTCAGAGGTAGCATCCTGAAAAATGCTTGGATCACCAGGCTTTGTGATGCTCTGCTTGGGGCACTCTCCACTCAGATAGGAAAGAGACTATGAATATGACATGGACTAGTGAGGAGGGCTACCTGTGTTGAAGGGAGTCGTGTTCTTGTTTCTGCCTCAAGAACTATGAAAGAACTTTAACTGAAGGTTGCCCAAGGAAACAATTTCCCATCAGTAAATGTAGGACTTGCAGAGTTGCAGTTTTAGTAACAAGCACTTAAATTTCCTTCTGTTCTTTTTGTGCTCAAAGGAGATTTTTGGGCACTCAAATCCCAGATGGATATCAAAATAAAGAGTCTTTTGAGTTCAGAAAGTAGTTTCCAAATTTGAAAACTAATCTCAGTCAAATTTTGTAGGATGCATAATGTGAAGCATGAAGCCCCAGGGCTTTTACTGCAAGTCACTCAAGGGTTTTTGGTTGGGCTTTTGTAACTTTTGTTTTTCCAACTAGTTTAAATGGTTGATTTGATTCAAAAATCAACAAGATTTGCATTTGCTAAAAGGAAGAACTGTAACTGTTGTTGTTGTCCTTACAATTCCACACAATAATGTTTAAAAGAAGAAAAATAAAAACAAACTGAGGTTTGAATTTGTACAATTTCTGTGCAAGATCTCACTGAGAGATGAAGAAAAAAAAAGTCTGCTGGGAACAGAGTAGGATAGTAAGTTAGTAATTATGTCTCTTGATACCCATTTTGTTTACTAATCAAAGGTCTAATTGCTTTGCTCTATTTTAATTAACAATGTTCTTATTTTAATTAGTTACTTTTCCTGCATACATTAGCACTGGGAGAAACCATGGAGCATATGAATAATACAATGAAGAGTTTAAAGTTAAGTTTCTAAAAATGCTTTAACAATTTCACAAGTGTTTAATAATGAAATTAAAGCTGTTCTTCATAAATGTGGCTACTGCTTCTCCAAGGATTTCATCCTAGCAAAAAAATAAAAAGTTGTCTTTTTTGCTTTTAACTTAAAATAGTCAACTGGTATTGAAATGGGGGGGATTGTAGTATGGGGCTAGGGTCTAGGTAAAACCTAGCAATCACGGAACCAAGGAATTGAATAGCTTATAGAAATTAATGGGAAACTGAGGTTAGCAGGCATGTAACTAACTAAAAATAGGGTATTGAGTAAGGAAATGAAGTATAGAGAAATAGAAACTGAAGCAGCCTAAAAACCAGATAAAACCGACTCTGTGACTTGGAGAAGTTCCAGGAGCATGTGCCAAAAGAAGGTGCTGGGAGTTCAGCACGACGAAGACGACTTCCTTCCTCCGGAGACCCCGGCCCACGACCACGAGGAGGCGCTGCGCAGGCACGACTGGGAGGAGGAGAAGGTGGAGCACATGCAAAGGACTTCTTGGACTGACTTTTCGAGGAAAGGTTATGAATATGTATAGGCGCTTAATGAACAGGCAATATGTTACTGTATAAAAACAAGGGAAATTCCTGTTTTAGGTACGCACGTCTGCAGAGGAGGGATCGCCCATGCGTGGAATAAACATACCTACTTTACAACCTTACGGGTTGTGGAGTCTTCTTTCCACGAGTCAGTATCAAATATAATTACCACAGGCACCAAAAAAGCTAATGCAGGAATATGAAAGGTTTGATAGTACTTAGATATGCTAGAATGTTCAAACTGGCCAAATCTTTTGAAACATCCCAATGCGACAGCCATTCTCTTCAGAACCAGTCTCAACATGTTTAGCAGTTACCTTTGAAACTTGGGGAACTTCTATCTTCTTCCCTAACAGAGGCTGGGAAAAAAGCAAACAGTGCCCTATGAAAGAACTGAAGAACTCATGAAAATTATTTCAATTCCTGGGAAGATATCAGAACAAATAACTTTTACGCAAGTACTTTAATTAACAAGGACAGATGTAGCAACTGTTACCTTTTTTGTATGAACTGTTTTTGACAAATGTGTTTAATTCCTCTGTGGGGCAGGTAAAAGGCTTGGTGTATAGGGAGAACTATAAATCCTGAAGTTTTGGATATAGCTCTGCCTAATTTTCCTGTGTGCAACCTAAGAAGGGTTGGTCTCTATGAAACTAACAGTAGTATGTTACACAGCTCTCTATAAAACCACGCACTTAGTAGTATATTGTCAAAGTGATGATTACCAGTTGGGATTCTGCAGAGGCCTGTTCTGAGTGTGCTTACTCCAAGGTATAAATGGAACAGAAAATATATTCATTAAACTTGAGGGTAATGGCAAAATGGAAACATCTAGAAAACACGGTAGTGGGTCATTACAGTTTGTCTGGAAAAAAAATCAGGATGTAATTCAGTAAGGAGAATTGCAAAGCGCTAAATTTGGTAGAAATAGTCAACTATTCAAATACAGAATGCAATAAACACAAATATATGAACAACTGGCAGCATTTTCAGAAAAGGATGAGGCAACTTTAGTGGAAAAAGTGGAATGCAAATCAGTATTACCATGCTGTTGCACAAGCAGCAATCCCAATAGGACATAAAAAAAAGGAGCTGTAAAGTAATCCTGCACCATCCAACCCAAATACCTGGTTAACTAGAATACTGTGACCAGGTTTGATTATCACATATTTGATGGGGGAAAGGGTGGGAATGGGGGAGGAAGGTTGACTGAAGCTTCTGGAAAGCAACAAAGATGACAAGAGATGTGCAGAAAATGTGACTGAGAAAAAAAACCAAAACAACCCCGAGGGAATCTTATCATTAAGTCTACAGATGCCTTAGGAAAGCAGTGATCTGATTTTCAGGAGTGCGGAAAGTAACTAAGGAAACGCACTATTCACCATTCTGCTATGTACAGGACAAGAAGTGTTCCTTGCTACAACTATTATCTGTTAAGTTAGACAAACTTTGTAGAGCGTGGCTAAAGGACTACAATGGATTGTCCAAGGAAGCTTAAGAAAAAAATAGGTATTTATCAGAGTATCATGTATCTGATTCTATGTTTAGGTGGGAAGAAATTAGGCCTATTCTTGAAACCCTTTCCAACCCAGTATTCTGACTGGCAATCTTGTAGTTGTTTAATGCCACAGCATGTGATGCTAACAAGATGCAGGGCAGCAAAGTTCAGTACTGTAGTCTGTATACCAGGTTTTCCATTACCTACAGAATTTCCTTGTGAGAAACATTACATTGAGCAAGAGTAGTAAAACTCAATAAACCTCCCTCTTCGATCCACCAGCCCAACCAAAACAAGACTGTGAAAGCATCTGCCACCTTTTATATTTTTATTGTGCACTTAAGAAGCACTTAAAGATACCACACAAGACTCTATGCATTATGTTGTCCATATGTAGTATGTCACACAATGAGAAACACGGACTTCCCCAAAAGCTTTCATATTCTAATTCAAACAGATAAAAATTAGATAAAATAGTATCATGGCATTATACAAAAGCAAAGCACATCTAGTGTCTTAGATCACACAAGTCAAAGGCAGAAACTGAAACAGATCTTCCCAATCTGTATATAAGTCCATCAAAAATAAGGCGTTTTTGGCAGCTGTAAAACAGATTAAAATTATATTAATCTAATTTGGGTTTGTCAATTGAAAAGTATAATTTAAAAATAAATTTTAGTAAGTTCCCAATTCAGAAGAAATTCAAGTGCGAAATTAAAACAATAACAGTTAAAAAGGGAATAAACAAAACCTTTTTTCCTCCTTCAATTTAAATTCATTTCCAGACCAGTTTGTCATAGATTACTCTTCTTTCTTTCATATAAGGACGCATATAAATTCATGAAATTATTCTCAGAGGATGAAATCAAGTTGTCAAGGTCATAATCAACTTCAAAGGTAGGTCTCTCTCCAAAAATTACAAGAGCAAGAAATACAGCAAAGTGTGCAGTAAGTCCCCATATCTTGAATGACATTTTGCGTTCCTGGTCATCATACGTAAAGCAGTGCATCCAACTTGAGTAACCAGATGAGGTTTTATAGGGCAAGGCCTTGTAATTTAAGGGCTTAACAAAGTACTCCAATGGCACGATGAAAACATCACTCACTTCATCTGGATTAGGAGTGGCCTGGAACGTATCCTCTATAAATCCTACAACCGGTGTTACCAAGTGATTCATCTAAAAGGGAAAAAAAAATAAAGAAAAAAAAAACCAAACCCAAACACTAAGTTTGTACCAAGTAAAAAAAATGTTCTTTATTTTAAAAACATTTCAGATGTTACAAAATGAGTACAAGAAACCTATGAAATAACTGTAATGTGATTTAGTCTCTCTAATGGCAAGATATTTATATTTGATTTTAAATATATTTTAATAAATTTTACATTTTCTTTTTATATTTTTAGACATGCTTTTACTAATATTCTGTTCAACCTGTATAATCATACAGCAATTTAAAAGGTTTGTCCATCTACTACAAAAATAAAAAACATGCATGCTCTCTCACAAGTCTCTCATTTATTTCAGTGAGTTCTGATTTTAATTTAAATTTTCCAAATCATCTGTGCTTTCCCATATCTCTGTATCTACCTTCCTAGGATATAGGAATTTTCCTAGGGTATAGAAATATTTTTCTATCAAATGTAGAGAGAAGACAAAGTAGAACCTGACAGGTAAAATTTTTGTGGCCCAAAACCACATGATCTTTTCTACTCACTGAGGCAAGAAAAGAGTTATAAAAACTAAATGGATCCTTTTTACATACAGCCTCTGAACTATGTGGCTTTAATGTTATCTCTACAGAAATTAAGAAGTTAAATAAGGATTTTGCAGTACAATTCTAAAACTAGTTTTGTTTTTTAAAGGGGGAGGATATTACTAACAGTAAGTGGCTAACATGCAAAAAAACCCAGCAGGCATATTAAATAGAGAAACTGCTACCTGAAGCAAAAAAAAAAGTTTCTGAAACAGTAACCCCTCTGTATTACTTACGCAAGACTAAATAACGTTACTGAGATTGGCAGCCTGTTAATTTACAAACAGTGACTTACACTCCAAAGACCCCTCCAAAAGAGAGGTCTCCTTGCTAGTGTTCCATGCAGAATCACAGTCCATATGCTCTCCAGAGGTCCCTGCCCTCCTGGATTAACCCTGCTTTCAGCAAGATATTGTAAGAAGTAAGAAAACTTTTGAGGTTACATCAGGCTGCTGAGGGACTTGTCTGGATGAGTTCTGTGTACCTCCAAGGATGGAGACCATACACCTTGTGAGTACAATCTGTTCCAGTGTTTGGCTAGCCTCATGGTAAAGAGTATTTTCCTTGCATCTCATCAAAATTTCTGTTGTTTCTGCTTGTGTCCATTGTCTCAAGAGGAGTCTGGTATCATCTTCTCTATAACCACCCAGGAGGTACTTAGAGCAACTAGAACCCCTGCTAGCTTTCTCCTTCTTCAGGCTGAACAAACCCGCTTCTCAGCCTCTCCTCATAATCCACATGCTCCAGTCTCCTGCTGTCTCTGTGGCTCTCTGCTGAACTCTCAGGAGTTTTAGCACTGCCTGTCTGGTACTCCAGTGTGTCCATATAACTGGACATGCTACACCACATGTGGTCTCACAAAAACCAAATACAGAGCAAGAATCTCTTCCATTCACTCTGCTGACAACACAGGCTGTGCACTTTAAGAAGTGGTGGTTACAGGTTTGCAAAGGTCATTATCTACCTTACAAAAGAAAATGACCCAAGCTTATTTTCTAATGATATGCTGACTTACTCAGTTCATTGCTTACTTTATCAATTCCAGGCACAAGCCTACAGATGACTTCCACCTTCTCTGGCTGGAGTCCCACTTCTTCTTTAGCTTCTCGGAGAGCAGTATCAATTTCATCTTTATCAATTGCTTCACTTTTACCTCCTGGAAAACACACTTCTCCTGGCGATCTTCTCAGCTAGAATTTAGAAGAGAAGTAGAGTTAAATATAGCAAATTTTACATTTCTTCTTGGACCTACACGGACACTTGTTCATATTGCAGAACCTCTTTATATTTATCTTTCCAGTCAAAGAAGCTGGAAATGGTGGTTAAGAGGTTTCTGCAGATCAGAAGAAATGTGCCTTATCAAGGGCTACACAAGAAGCTGGAACTATACCAAACTAATCCATAAATCCTCACTATCAGAAATAGACATATCACTTGCACTGTATTGTGTAATTCATATTACACATTCTGCTTTAATACTTCAAAATTTACATCTTTTCATCATCTTGCTTGCATAAGAGACTGATAGATGAATCTAGATGGACAACTTGAATATAAGATTAAAATACAGTAAGAGCAAATAGTGTATCTTTAAGTACATTATAGTAATAGGCTTGTGCATCAATGATCAGTAAAGCACCATTTACAATCAGTTTATCAGCTAAGTAACTGTAATTATTATAGTCTTAAAATTTCTAAGAAAGACCCCCCAAAATGTCTGTTTTTCAGCAACAGAAAAACAGACAAGTGAAAAAAACAGACAAGTGAATAATCTCTGAATACAGATAGCTGATCAGGGGCAGGGATGGAAAACAAAAAGTTTTAAAAGGAAAAAAAATGCTGGCAGAAGAGTTCTGGGGAACTTTGCTTGTTGCCTTTCCTTTCTTATATGAGAGTGAAGAGCAATACTAAATGCAGACTGAAAAGAAAAAGTAATGGAAGTTGCACTACATTATCAGTTTTCTTATTTAAGTCACAGTAAACAGTCAAAATCCCCTCTTCTGATCTGAAAATAATATTTTGCTGTCGCAGGTTTATGAGTATCTGCCATTTTTCTGGCATGTAAATACGAGAATCATTGGTGTACAAAAATACGTGCTTGTAACCTCAGGCATGCTGCCTGCAGTTTGAAGAGCAGGCCCTAGCGCCAATGCCAAGGGCGGGACTTGGGCTAATTCCTGCGTGAGCACACGGCGAGTGTTTTCCTTTGAGCGACCCCGCCGAGGCTGCGCTGTCCCTCACAGCTCGCCCTGTGCGCGGCCGGGGCCCGGGCTCACCTACCTGCATGGACCTGACGGTGAGCAGCAAGTGCAGCTTGCCCTCCCTCACCACCAGCGGCAGCAGCACCGAGGCTCGGGGCAGCGGCAAGCGGGTGAACTTGTCTCCGACATCGAACTCCCTCAAGCGGAGCCTGGCTTTCTCTTTCACACGCTTTCTAGAAGCAGACAGAAAGGAGGCTGTGACACGCCGAGGCTGAACCTTACGGATACCTGCAGCCGCACTGACTCGGCCGCAGCTATAGCACTCACAGCC